AGGAAAGGTAGGTGCAAAGGAGCAAAAGCTGCTTGAAGATGATATTTTTAGGGAAAAGAAGCTGCCACTCAGTTCTCACTGCCACCTTCAGGGCAAACAAAGTTTCCAGTCAGTCAATTGGAGCGAACTTTAATGTAAAGGTGTGACAGGAAAGAGAAGCTGCAGGTGATTTTTGTTGTCTTGCTGCACATATTCTGAAAAGCACAGTCGTCTACAGAAACTGCATTATATTAATCAGCGTGTTCTTCTGTCTACTTCTCGTCTAACGTTGTTAAAAAATATTAGCAAAGTAGGGGTCACATGAACCAACAAAATGTTGATCTACCCAGCATATTGGAAACTGACTCTGGGAGTGTTGTTCATCTTCGATGCTTACAGCATGTGTATATTTGAATAACACCCCAATGGGAAAGTAACGTTACCCTAAACAAAGCCTGAAGATGTGTCGTGCCTGGTTCTAATCAGGAAAAAGTACTTTGAGCATTAAAAGCCCCCCTGTGACTGTTGTACTTTAATGTGTTAAGTTATTTTGCATCAATGTAAAAGCAGGATTTACTATTGTAGCTGGTTGAGGTTGCGCAAATCTTTACTAATTTGTATAGGAGTGCAACTAATCATTTTTATTATGTATTAATCTGTTGATTTTATAGATTAACTGATTGTTTGGTTTATATAAATTAAGAAAATGTCTGTGACAAAGCATCAGATTTTTATTAGCTCATTTGTCTTGTATTGATTTGTAAAGTAACGTAGCTACAGCTCAAATAACTGAAGGGTATTGTGGAGTACATAGTCAAATATTTCCCTCTGACACATGTAGTAGAAGTAGTAAGTGACATAAGTAAATGTTCATTCCGTTATTGTCTGATACGACCTGTTTGACGGCTTGTGTTTGACCTGTCTGAACTGCCCAGTTTATATTATTTCCACCATCTTATAACTTCACCAATTCAGCTGCAACAGCAACAGTTTAGCTAGTATTAGCTGGCAGCTATCCACAAGCTAACACAAACACAGTAGGCTATTTATGAACTAACATTTCGTCATCTTCAGCCCTCTCACCCACACATCATTCAGAGGCTGAACTGACCAGGGATCAGATAAATGCTACTGTATGTGTAGAATTGGCTGGATCTGTCTTGAAAGCATCTTTAGTTCACTTTTATCAGACTGAATAGCCATCTGAAGTCATTATTGCTGCAATATGAAAATATGCAGGTTGTATGAAACTGAAAATTCCCTTTAAAGACCCTCAGGATTCATTTGCTTGTCCTCAAACCAAGACTGAGGAACAAAACCTACACGTTACAGGTTTTCTGTTAAAAATGTGAACAGTTCAGCTGTTCTCATCATAATGTGTTGTGGTGTGAATGTCCAGTACTGAGTTAGTGAGGGGTGTTAGTGCGATAAGCCTGAACGTATTGGGGTCAGTGGGATCAGATTCCACAGTAGTACAAACACACATTTTAATAATCAGCTTAAACACACACTAGCCCTCGCGCGCGCGCGCACACACACACACACACACACACACACACACACACACTTCTGTAAGTTGGCCAATTAAACACGCAGTCGACCGTGTTGGACTAATTGTACTCACCTGGCCAGCTTGCTGAGGCCCAGAACTCTCTTGTTGGGGAGGTAACCGATGTGAACCTGCATAAAGACAAAAAATTCAAGATCAGGTTAACCCTGTGCTAACCGTGGTTGACAATGTGGAGATCCATACTGCAAACGCAGCTGCTGTGACCTCATCTTATCAAGGCTCTGAAAGTGTGAACCTGTAACAATACTCGAGGTGAGACACACGGGAAGAGATGATGCGGTTGTGACTGTGGCACCACTGAGGTCAGTCCCACGCTTCTCATATAGCAAGCATCCAGATCGCAGTAACGATCGGTTTGTCTTAGAAAAAATACCACTTGAAAACCCCAGAGAAACACTTATCATTGGTCTAACAATATTTTCAGGATCCTCAAAAACTCTTCTGACCATCTGGATGAAAAAAAATGTTCCATCTGCTGCTCAACACTAAAGAGTTTTAGCACATATCCCAAGTTGCAAGTTTCCTATTCAGCTTTGATTTGTACACAGAGATACAACCTAATCACAGTCATAGTTAACACCAATACACAAGATAATCGCTGATGTACAGTAAAAGACCATACGCAGTTTGAATATGACCATCAAGCTGACACAAAAAACACGTTAAAGACAACAAAAGCAGGAGAGGAGAGTAGAACAGGTAGATGAGCAACAGATGTGAGGAAGAAGAGAGAGTCATCAGCTGGAGAATCACTGCTGTGGATGGCTGGAGGCCTCAATTCTCTCTCTCTCTCTCTCTCTCTCTCTCTCTCACACACACACACACCACTCAAATGTCAAACACAATTTGTTGACGAGAGGAGAGAAAGGGCAGCAGCAACAAGCGTACAAAGATCTTTTTCTTTTGATTCTTTCTTTTCCTCCCTCTCAGCTGCAGCAGCCTGATACATCGACATCAAACAGGCCGGCTGCTTTTTCACTTGTCTGCTCACGTCATTCACAGTTACCGGCGAGTTACCATGCTGCAAGTGACGATGAGGCAAGATGCAAAGTGATAATAATAATAAGAAGAGTGAGCGGAACCATCAAGGTTACAGGAACCTACATAGCATCAAAATAAACCTGCGTATAATCTAATAGCACTACAAAGGGTTTTTTTTAAACCACTTTTAATTCAATGCTTTGGTTTTAAGGTACATTTACTGTACGATTCTGTCTCACTGATCTTACAAAACCCAACTGTGGGCTAATAAACGTATGTGCCCAGTGCCAAACAGCAAACACAAAGACTACCAAGACCTGGGGTCTGTCGGCGGTTTCTTCTGTTAAAGGGAGTTTTTCCTCCCCACTGTCACAAAGTGCTGTTCAGGAGGGATTTGTTGGGTTTTCCTCTATAAAATTAATAGTAGAAAGGTCTAGACCTTACTTTGTAAAGTGCCCTGAAACGACTTTTGTTTGGTGAGATATATATATATATATATATTTGGTGCTATACAAATAAAATTGAATTGAACTTTATAACAACTGGTGCTTTTATAACAACAGGTGCTTTTTTTTAAAGGCAAGTAATTGACTTAATATGAAGTTATCAAATAAATGAAAACTATTCATGGCAATTTTGTTTATTGCTGTTAAAAGCATCTTCATGTTACATTGAGTATAATCCTCACACAGTGCTGTTTTTGTATGTCTTTAGGGGAAAAGATTCAAGATCTTTATCTGCCATGTGTATACAGTATGTACAAACATAATCGACACTGGAATTTGACTGTGCGAGTCCCTCAGTCAAATTCAAATACACTCACACAATAAAATAGAATAAAATAATGACAGCAGAATAAATAGGGAAATCAGAGATGGGGAATGACAGGAAACAAAGGTTAATGGAAAAGTAGGGGTGCACTGTGATCACACCGTGTGTCCCAAACTCGTGAGCCCCCAGGATCTCGCTTTTCCGCAGCATTTCAATGCCGTGTTTCAATAGAAGAGATGAACATGAGCCCAGGTGACAGATGTTTTTGCAGTGTATTTTCTCTTCAAAGGTTCTCTAAGTGGCTCTGCTGATTGCCAAGTAAATGACAGCCTGCAATAAGCTGCTCTTGAGGAGCAGACACTGAAACAGTTTATCAAACAGCCAGTGGCTACCTGCACGCTGTCTGATCAACAATCGAGGAGGAGGAGGCAGTCTCTTTCTGTGCGGTGAGTCACTGAGACACACAACAGAGATGGGCAGATGAGAGAGACTGGATAAGAGGGAACGCTGCTGACGATGATGGGGGGTGGGTTAGGGACATCTGCAGCCACCTGATGGCCACCACACACATGCACACACACGCACACACACACACGGGAGGGAGGTGTGGTAAGTGTTGGTGTGATTCACTGCTGTCATCAGAGCCCATTTACACCAGTGGAAACGGATCAGCTGCCAGCCCCTATTGTCTTAAATGACAGGCACCTGCAGGCCAAGATGGAGGGATAAGGGAAGCAGCAACAGAAAAGGCAGAAAGAGGAAAGTGGAGAGAAATGATGTCAAAGGGGCAGGGGAGGCTGAAAACACGCAGAATAAACAGATCTCAGCTAATCTGATTACTTCTCATGTCGTCTGTCTCTGCAGCCTCCAGATAAACGTCACACGGTTTTCTAAGATACACATCTGTTACTATATTGGATGTTTGTGGCGATTTTCAAATTTAAGAAGCAATATAAAAGCAATGGTTCCCAAACTAGGCTCCATGGAACAACAGGTCCTTGAAGGAACGGTCTGACATTTTGGGAAAGACACCTGTTGATTCATAAATTCATAGTTAAATGAGAAGATTGATACCACTGTCACACCTGTCAACCAGCAGCCATGTAACTTCACTTAACATAACAGATTTATTCTCTGGAGACCATGAATATTCACACGAAGTGTCAAACACATGTTGGACAGTCACGTCTGCCGCAGTAGCAACATGCTCAGTAGCTCCAGATCATGCACAGACAACTCGCTGTTAGCTGTGCTGAAGAGTTAGGACCACAGTAGCATCTAATCAAAGTGAAATTTGGAGGTCTGTTTACATGCTGGTTAATGCAGAGCTGCAACTAACACTTATTTTCAGTGTGGATTAATCTGTGGATTTTTGCTCAAGTGATTAGTCACCTGTCCATTACTGTCCAAATGTCAACAGTTCAAATTAGATTCAGGATACAAAATAGACAGAAGCAGATGTTTGTAAAAATGACTAATGGATTATCGAAACAGCTGGTGATTCCATTTGGTTGATTCACTAATCAATTTATTAACATTTCTTTAAGTGAACTAAAATCATAATTGTAGTTTACTAAAATATATTACTAGGTTTCTATTTGATATAATCCATCCATTCATTCATTATCTGTATCGCTTAAGAGGGTCTTGAATAGGGTCTTTGGACTGAGGGAGGAAGCCGGAGTACCCAGAGAGAACCCACGCAGGCACAGGGAGAACATGCAAACTCCACACAGAAAGGCTCAAACCAGGAACCTTCTTGCTGTGAGGCGCTAACCAGTTTGCCGCCATTATTTAGGTATTATTTTGTAATTAAAATATACCTTTAACTGTACTGTAGAGTCCAGTGTTGTAGCCAATGATTTATGTATTACTGTACTTAAACAGCCTTGCCACTGTTATGTGATGAGGTTATATATAGATACACACACATGTTTGGTCAGCCATTAAAATACTCTGACACCATGGAAGAACTGTCAGTAAAATCAGCCAAATGTTACCTGTTTCTTTGGGTTAATAACACTGTGTACATGAAAGATCAGGTTCAGTTCCACTTAAACTTTATATTTAAGGCAAGCATACTTAATTATACTTACTGTATCTCCATCAATAGATTAAGTACAAGTATAGGCCAAATATATTTAGATTTTCCTGGATACTTATATAAGTATAAGCCAAGTAAACCCAAGTATAATTTAGTGTAGTATATCACGTACATAATGTCTCCCTTAATGTTCCAGTAAAGTGAACTCATCTTTCCATAAAGAAATAATGTTCTCTGTCATTTCTGACTGAAAATGGAAATGAAGCACTATGTTTCTGCTGTCTCCTGCCTTCAGGTCACTGTATATGTGTGTGTGTGTGTGTGTGTGTGTGTGTGTGCGTGCACGTTTCTCTCACCCTGCCGAAGATGGGCACCAGATGATGTTCACACATGGAGAACATGTCGATATCTTTGACAATCACCATCTCATCGTGGTCTTCATCAAAAATGGCATCGTTCAGCACATCTGCAGAGGAGAGATTACATAAAAAGGTTGGGGAACTGGTTCTTTTCCCATTTACCGTTGTACCTACATGGCTACAGATTAAATAAGGAAGATGTCTGTCAATTTGTTTTACTATGTATGTGCTGTATATCTTTATTTTATGCTGTCAGAGGTTTCATTGTGGATCTTTAAGTGTGTATAAAAAAAACATCCTGGATCACTGTCTGTACGCTCAAGGACATACAGACAAAAACCACTGGCGTCCACCCACAGCTGTGTCACAGGGCACCTGCTTCACCTCGACTGCTCTCTTCATTGTCAGCCTCACCATTTCTCTCTGGCAAATACTGCCATCTAATTATAGCTCTGTCCATACACCTTTTCCTGTTGTTGCATTATTGCATTTTTCTGTTGCCGTGGATTCAATAAACTGTTTTATCTGTTTATGACGATACAGACGCCTCTTGCGCTCACCGTGGCCCTTTTTAATTTCCTGACTAGCTATCAGTCAGAACAAGATGGAATGGGGGGAGGGGGGCAAGGTCACCAAAACAACAGAGACCAGGCTGACTTGTTGCTTCAGTCCCTGCTATTTATTGGATGTCTGTGTGTGTATGTAAACACAGGTCGTCTGTGTCTGAAGCTGTGTGATAAGATCCACACATTCTGGTGCTCTTTAAAGGTGCATTCAACAGGATTTTACACACTGATAAATCAAGTTAAAATGGGGCAGGACGTGGTTTCGCTCCCCCTCCATGACACTGTGCTGTCTCCAGTGCTTTTGTTGTTCCAGCTTTTCTATTTTGTGTTTTCAAAATCACATCCTTAAATTAGCCCAACCTGCCACCCAGCAAAGGTTATAGAAAGCTTTTTTCAAACCGGGAGTGGTCATTTCAAACAGCCAACCACGGACGACCCCTCAGCAGCTAAATGTCTGAAACAGTGGCTGCCAGTCTGGAGAGGCTGTGCTCTTATTGCAGAGAGCAAGAGTAGGACAAAGAAAGCAAAGATCAAGGGTTACACTTTTTGAGATGAAAGCGTTAAAAGCAGCCAATGATTTGTGTCAGATGTGGTGGTCTTTCCTATACATGTGTTAGCATCTAAAGCTAATGTGTCTATTTTGGAAACATTTTGTGTTATGTAAATAATGTGTCTTTGAGGCTAACATGCTGCTGACTTGATTAGGTCCCATACATCCATTTTTATTTGTTCATATTTTTATACTGACTTATACAATTTTGTGTTATATGAATAATGTGTCTTTTAAGCCAAGAGGTGCCAGAAAAAAATGTCATTGTGCTATGCATAATGACAATAAAGATTCTTGACTTGATTAGCAATGTAGCATGGTCATGACTGTACTTTTGTACTGGATTAATATGATTTTAATTTCAGAGTAATTTCAGGTTTTTCTATGTTAGTGCTTTGGCTTTCTAGCAGCTGAAAAGAAAGAGCAGTTTTAAGTAATGTTATGCGGCGGTAGTGGAAAATAATATGGCCTTATTCTTTAGGATTTGCCCACTGGGAACCAAATGCGCAATTCAAGTACATTTAAGTGCACTACATCTCTGCCACGGTGCCCACAGGCTACAGCTTTCAACACCATCAAAAAGTAAAGCGATGATAAATCAACCTCAACTAAATCAAGGGCAGCTGGGTGACATAAAGACGAGGTCAGTATCAGGTAATGACAGTGTTACTCATCATCAGCTCAGTGATGCTGCCTCCAGTGTACGTGTGTGTGTGTGTGTGTGTGTGTGAGAGTTAGCCCCCACCAACACACAGAGTGAGGAGACCACATGTTGACACTTTCTGAATGAAGCAGGAAACAGTGGAGTGAATGACTAAATGAACAACATCACTCATTTATTGTTCAGTCAACCAGATGTATATGTGTTTCCTATAAATAGTTTTAACCCTGGCCATATATTCACAAGTCACCCATTTCTATCCATGACTTTAAATACACAAAGAGGCATACACAACTGACAACAAGCTACATATTTCCAAGTCTCCCATCCAATAATATTTAGTCTTCATGGTATTTTCAAATCTTCTGAGTCTCAGAAAACTGTTTCTGGTCATTTAAAAGACATTTACTGACTGAATCTGAGGACTCCCTGATGCTCGGTGCCTTTGGCTTGAGGCCACAGAAGGCTTTTTTGGGATGTTGTTGCCAGGCAACCTCACAATCAGCCGTCATTCAGACAGGTGTTGTGTGCTAGCTTATGTCATGTTAGCGTGAATTTGTGTAGTTGTTTTGAACACTGAAAATGTCTGACTGAAACCTGAAATCTGGAGAAAGAAATATCTGGAAGAGCAAATGTCACTGAACAATAAACTTATTACTGTTATAGATATCTATCACAGTTTTCAGAGTTCTTGCCTCAACTTTGTCCTAATGTATTGTATCTGTGCATATAAACACAGTTTTCTTGTCAAATGGCAGATTACCACAACATTTCAAGTGTTTTAACTCCCAAATTTGACCTGTAATGTATTGGTGTGTCACTGCTTATGTCTGAGTCAATGCACACATAGTGGTCAAAGAGGAAGAATACTGTCTGGCGCTATCGGTGGAAACTTAAGGGGGTTAAATGCCCAGAAGAACGTTTAAAATGAGGAGCCCATGTGGGGTTTTTATTGCCTGAGGCAGTGAGTAGCTCGGTGAGGCCGTAATTGGCAAAGTGGTGCTGTGATCAAAACACTCATAGGGCTTTAACTAAAAGTAATTTTTACCACCAATTAATCAGTGGAAAACTTTTCTGACTACTCATTTAATTTCTTCATCTATAAAATACAAACTAATGGAAAACATCCCTCACAATGTCCTAGAGTTGAATCCAAAGTGGACTCTACCACCAGTGATGACATGTTTGGCCACATGTGGTCATTCAACCGCTGGCTGTCTAGGTGGTGCCCAGAAAATAACGTGGGCTTCATAAACAACTGGAAAACATTTTGGGGAAAACCTGGTCTGATTAGTAGAGACGGCATCCATCCCACTTTGGGTGGTGCGGCTCTCTTATCTAGAAATCTGGACGAGTTTGTTTTACAACCTAAATTATGACAACCCAGAGTTGAGTCCAGGATGCAGGGTCACAGTCTTATACGCCTCTCTGCTGTCTCTTTGCATCTGCTACCCACCCAACACTCACAGTACCCCATAGAGACTGTGTCTGCCCCCTGAACACCTAAATTATATAAATCAAAAATCAACTCAAGAGCAGTTATTCACAAGAAGCTAATTAAAATTAAGACTAATCCTCTTATAGAACAAAATAACAGGACAATCAAATGTGGACCATTAAATATCAGATCTCTCTCATCCAAATATCTGTTAGCGAATTATTTGATAAGTGAACATCACATTGATTCAGATTAGCAGATGAATCAATGTGTAGATTAACTGAACATTATCAATTACAGCTAGCGATTGTTTCCTTTGACTAATCTAAGATATTCAGTTTACTATCACATATAAGCAACAAAATCATTCTAACATTTGAGCAAATATTTTTGCTTGAAAAATGACAATCAAGCTTTATAAAAACTGTTTTTTCCAGTCTGTAACTGACTTATTGCTGTAGGTTTAAGTCAGTGGGCAGCTACTCAGTGGAACTCCTGTTTAATCTCTGCGTAACTTCTCATCACACTTTTGTTGGTCATGTGATTGACAACAAGAGGATTTCAGGCTCATGATGTGATAAAAGCTGAAGTCATGACCTGCACACACACACACACACACACACACACACACACACACTGAACAAACTCTGTATCACTTGCCTTAAAATGCTAGAGCTTTCCACAAACATCCAGCACTTGACCTGTTTTTTTTTGTGTGTGTGTTCTCTTTCCTATGGGTCAAAGGGGAGGCTCCTGTAGCAGCCAATCAGCTGTCTGACAGAGCACCGCTGCTGCCTGAACTGCACAACACACCATTATCTGAACCGTCCAGTCCATTCTCTGCTGTTCAGAGATAAGAGGAGCTTCAGGTAGATGTGACCATGCTGTACCTTTGTTCAAGCAAAGTGAATCTTTGGGAAAAAAAAATAAAATTCACCATCACATCTTTTCACTGGGTGCCTTCACAATTGCTCCACTCACTCCACCACATTCCTTCCTTTAGCCCTCAGACAAACCACCTCCAGATGAGTTCCACAAGCGGCTGAGACAGAGAAGAAGGGGCGGATCCCCAACCTCAGCCACTCCAGCATAAGCCAGCCCATATGGATCTGACACTGGTTATCGACCCATCTCCAGGCAAACCCCCAAACACGAGCCTGATATAGACCAGGTGCAGTGGGTACGGAAAGTATTCAGACCCCCTTAAATTTTTCACTCTTTGTTATATTGCAGCCATATGCTAAAATCATTTAAGTTCATTTTTTTCCTCATTAATGTACACACAGCACCCCATATTGACAGAAAAACACAGAATTTGACATTTTTGCAGATTTATTAAAAAAGAAAAACTGAAATATCACATGGTCATAAGTATTCAGACCCTTTGCTCAGTATTTAGTAGAAGCACCCTGTTGAGCTAATACAGCCATGAGTCTTTTTGGGAATGATGCAACAAGTTTTTCACACCTGCATTTGGGGATACTCTGCCATTCCTCCTTGCAGATCCTCTCCAGTTCTGTCAGGTTGGATGGTCAACGTTGGTGGACAGCCATTTTCAGGTCTCTCCAGAGATGCTCAATGGGGTTTAAGTCAGGGCTCTGGCTGGACCATTCAAGAACAGTCACGGAGTTATTGTGAAGCCGCTCCTTCGTTATTTTAGCTGTGTGCTTAGGGTCATTGTCTTGTTGGAAGGTGAACCTTCAGCCCAGTCTGAGGTCCTGAGCACTCTGGAGAAGGTGTTCGTCCAGGATATCCCTGTACTTGGCCGCATTCATCCTTCCCTCGATTGCATTAATGAATTGATTGAATTAAGGCCAAAAAGTTCTATCTTGGTCTCATCAGACCAGAGAATCTTATTTCTCACCATCTTGGAGTCCTTCGGGTGTTTTTTAGCAAACTCCATGCGGGCTTTCATGTGTCTTGCACTGAGGAGAGGCTTCCGTTGAGACACTCTGCCATAAAGCCCCAACTGGTGGAGGGCTGCAGTGATGGGTGACTTTCTACAACTTTCTCCCATCTCTCGACTGCATCTCTGGAGCTCAGCCACAGTCATCTTTGGGTTCTTCTG